ATCCTTTAACATAAATCTCCATTTTACAAAGTAAAAATCATACATATTAAATGAGTGTCTTCATTATAAAAGTATCAAAATACTCTGGGGGATGTGTGTGATGTTTTTCCCATGTTTCACAAATACCCTCAAACTGTTCAAAAAGGCATCAGTCATGGATAGAATGAACTTTTGTGCCTGGATCTCTTCCAACAGTTGAAGTAACACTTTATAACTAGGACCTAACATTTTCAGTCACTGTAAACAAAGAGCTGTGGGGGAAAAGAGTTTTGTAACCAAAGCTCCACAGGGGGTTCAGCTAGGTCACAGTATGTGCTCTGTAGAGGAAAGGAAACACATACACGCAGTAGCCAGGAAACAATTCCTGTGCATCTGATGACCAAGTATGTGTGGATGGGTCTAAGTACAAGTTCTAAGAGAACTCCCCAAACAAGGGGGAAGATCATTACTACGGAAAGGCTTCCTGGGCTTGGCCTTAAAAGTTGAGATTTAGATTTATAAGAATGAAGGACATTTCAGAGAAATCACAACTCTTATGTGGTGTATAATTTACTTTTTAAAGAGGTTTTCATGGATGTTGTGCTGTTTTAAGCCACAATTTAGGTGATCAGATGCATGATGAGGAAGACCCATTCCAAGTATTATAAGAATAATAAGGAACAGTAAGTCTTGCAGTTAAGGAGCTCCAAATGAGTCAGGTGGAAGTATGCAAGGCCTGGCTCCACTACCATGTAACATCATTCACATTAATTTATTTCTCTGTACTTCAGTCACCTCACCTGCAAAAGGAGGCCAATTAGAACATTACCCATCCCACAAGGTGGTTGTGACGAATGAATGATATAATGTAGGTAAAAACAGCACACTGTAGACATGAAAAAATCTTGCTATCATTAATGTTTATACTTGCACGGAATAAGCTTTGCCAACCCTTACTCTCAAGCTGCCTTAAAGGCTTGTCTTTTTTTCAATTACACATCTCATTTCACTTCTGACAGTGTGTACGGTCACTTTCTGTAGCAAGCTTTCCCCACAATTCCACCCTCAACTAGCCCTTAAATTCCAAGAGAGCTGCAAGAGAATGAAACTGGATTCTTGTTTAACCCCATACACAAAAGTAAACTTGAAATGGATTAAAGACTTGAATGTACGTCATGAAACCATAAAACTCTTAGAAGACAACATAGGCAAATATCTCCTGAATATAAGCATGAGCAACTTCTTCCTGAACCCATCTCCTCGAGAAAGGGAAACTAAAGCAAAAATGAACTCATGGGACTACATCAAACTAAAAAGTTTTTGTACGGCAAAGGAGATCATCAACAAAACAAAAAGGCATCCTACAGTATGGGAGAATATATTTGTAAATGACATATCCGACAAAGGGTTAACATCCAAAATATATAAAGAACTTACACACCTCAGCACCCAAAAAGCAAATAACCCGATTAACAAATGGGCAGAGGATATGAAGAGACAGTTCTCCAAAGAAGAAATTCAGATGGCCAACAGACACATGAAAAGATGCTCCACATAACTAATCATCAGGGAAATTAAAATTAAAACCACAATAAGATATCACCTCACACCAGTAAGGATGGCCAGCATCAAAAACACTAAGAACAACAAATGTTGGTGAGGATGCGGAGCAAAGGGAACCCTCCTACACTGCTCCTGGAAATGTAAGCTAGTTCAACCATTGTGGAAAGCAATATGGAGGTTCCTCAAAAAACTAAAAATAGAAATATCATTTGACCCCAGAATCCCACTCCTTGGAATGTACCCAAAGAACACAACTTCTCAGATTCAAAAAGACATATGCACCCCTATGTTCATCGCAGCACTTTTTACAATAGCCAAGAAATGGAAGCAACCTAAGTGTCCATCAGTAGATGAATGGATAAAGATGTGGTACATATATACAATGGAATACTATTCAGCCATAAGAAAGAAACAAATCCTACCAATTGCAACAACATGGATGGAGCTGGAGGACATTATGCTCAGTGAAATAAGCCAGGCGGAGAAAGACAAATGCCAAATGATTTCCCTCATTTGTGGGAGTATAACAATGAGGCAAAACTGAAGGAACAAAATGACAGCTGACTCAGAGACTCCAAGAATGAACTAGAGGTTACTAAAGGGGAGGGGGTGTGGGAGGGTGGGTAGGGAGGGAGGGAGAAGGGGACTGAGGGGTATTATGTTTAGTACACATGGCGTGGGGGATCACGGGGAGAACAGTGTATCACCGAGAAGGGACAGGGTGGATCTCTGGCAACCTCCTGCACTGATGAACAGTGACTGCATTGGGGTATGGGTGGAGACTTGATAATATGGGTGAATGTAGTAACCACTTTGTCTTTTCATGTGAAACCTTCATAAGAGTGTGTATTGATCATACCTTAATAAAAATTTTTTTAAAAAATTTCCAAGAGAGCAAGGAAGCTCTTTTGTTTATCACCCTGAGGGCTCGCGACAATGCTGAGTAACCAGAAGGCGTCTGAGTGACCTCCCCTGTAATCTCTGCTTCCAGCAGCACCCATTCTGGCCAACCATTAGGCCAACAGCCTAAGCAAAATCTAAGCATGTACCTGAATCAATGCAAAAATTAAATAAGATGGCCCGGAGACTAAAGTTTCAGGGGTTCCTTACTGTAGGCCAAACCCTGTCCTAGAGACTTTACATCTGTTATCACATGTGATCCTCATAAAAACCTTAGGAAGAATTGTCACACCCATGTTACAGTTGAGGAAAACTGAGGTTAACAGAGGGTAACTAACATGTGCACAATCACACCAGCCCTCCTTGTCCTGATTTCCCAATGCAAACCCAGACCTAAGTCCAAAGCCTAGGCTCTTCTCTGGGTAACACACTGTTCTTGCTTAAAGTAACCAAAATTTCTAGCTACAACCTCAAACCTCTCCCAGCTTAAAATATCCAACTGGTGACTTGCCAGCTCCATTTAATTTGTAATCGGCATCTCAAATGTAATATGAAAATCAAGAGAAACCTCACTAAGGTGGAGTTGGAAGGCCAGCTGGGGGCGCTCTCACACCTACTACTAGATGAGACAGACTCCTCTCAAGCGGATACCCTGTGGGACTCAGCCTTTACCCCTGTGGGATACTACCTCCAGGTAGCTGGTGTCAGAACTGAATTTAATTGTTGTACGTCCTGTTGGCATCCAGATTGTTGGGGAATTGGTTGGTGTGGGAAAAAAAAAACCCACATACATTTGATGTCATAAGTGCTGTGAGTAAAAGGAGTTCTTAGGTACTCAAAAAAAATGTATATAGACTTAGCCTCTGATGGTGTTTTCTTTCATGTAAAATTCTTAACCACCCCACCCATAAGAACTCAGAGTCAGCACCCCCTCAAATTGCACTGGGACCCACCACCAAGGCCTCAGGCAATCCTGAGAAAGCAGAAGTTAACTTTCCTATGATGAATGGCCAAGATTTGGTTCTTCCCAAAATACTGCCAAAGTATCAACCATACCAATAATTCTTTTACAAGACCCACTTGACTACTGGCAATCATTTTCAGAGCCCTAAATTAACCACTTGGTGTTACAGAAAGCCTCAGACCTAGAGGAGGACAGATACCCCTAAATATGTCATTAAGTGTTGCATCAAATTGGAAAGTATCTTAAAACAGTAACAATGAAAGATTTGCAAAGCTTTCTTGATATTCAGGACATTCAGAAAATAGCCTTTTCTGGTCCTACCTTGGTCTCAAAAGCCCTGCCTGGTAAGGCGTCTCTCTCTCTCCTTGCCTGACTCAAGGCAAATCACTACTCCTTAGGTCAAAATCCTCTATTTCCTAATTTCTGAAAAGCACAACTTGAATGCATGCCAAGTACAGTATGAGAGAGACCTCAAAGACCAAGCGATATCTTCACATGGCTACTGGAAGAGAATGGATTATCTGACAGTATAATTAGCCAGTTACAGAAACCCACAGGTAACTCCAGCATCCCTTAGGGGCTGCCTCGATTGTCGGAAGGCTGAACGCATTTGGAAGCAAGAACATCCCTGAATGCTCCCCGAAGTCACATTTATTTGAAAACACACACCATTAAAACCCTGTAAAGAAATGCTGATAATCAATTTTGATAGGGAGGAGGGAGCTCGCCGTCTGGAAGGCTTTACATACTCCGCCTTTTCTTACTCTGCAGGAAGAGTGGAATTAGCATTAAAGGGTTAAAACCTACTAATTCTGCCCCGATATGCTGCTAAGCAGAAAGAGTCGCCTATCCCAAGAGGACATGCATGTTTTAAGATATCCTGAGTTTAACAAGCGAGAGAGTTACAAAACAGGTTCGGGCAAGATCAGAAAAAAGTGATGGGAAGGCTTGCGCTCGACCCAGGCAGCCGGGTTTTGCGTCCAGCCAGAGGTCGTCTCAGGAAACTCAGGAAGCAAGACTGAGTTTTCCCTGCGCCCATAGCTGAGCACAGTAGTTTGGGAACCAGGCTTTGAGACGCTCCGGAAGGTACAGAACTAATGTTCTAGCCTTGTGAGATGCCATGCGCAACAGACCTGGGCCATATGACCCGAGTTTCGTCCAGGGCTTGGGAAAGGACACGTTGGCCCATGTCTTTTCCTGGGTTCACCGGGTAGCTACGGAGCTCAGCAACACACACACACACACTCTTGCTCTGGAAAGGAGGCAACACGCTCCAGCAGCAGCCGGGTTTCTTCGCTCGAGAATTCCCCGCCAGCCCCGCCCTAAGCCTGGAAGGAAGATCTCGGGATCGCCTCTGGGGCTTCCCCGTGTCCCCTGCAGCCCTCCCGCGGCACAAGCTTTCCCCAACGGCTGAGCGCCGCGCTTGGGCCCGAGGCACTTACTCAGGCGGCGCGGGGTCAACCCCAGGAGACCGATCCCCCGGCCCAATTTCGGCCGCGGAGCTGGGCGCTCTCCCGGCGAAACCCGCGGTACCTGGACTCCCAGCCCCGTCGCGCGACCGGCCGATCCCTAGAGCGGCGCCCGCCCGGCTCACCTGGCCTGCACAGCATTGCGCTGACATCACGGGGGCTGACGGCTATGGGCTCGCTCGCCCGCTCCCTGCTCCCCTCCGGTCGTCCTGGTTCCCTTGCGCCGCAAGAGACCCTGTCCACACCACCTCACGTCTCCACGCGAAGCAGCTCCTGCAGAACGCCAGGCACCGCGGCCAGGGTAAAAACAACCCCCGCCAAGCCCCGCCCAGCAGCCGCAGCCCCGCCCCCTGGAGGCGTGCCCGCCCCTTCCCGGGGACTCCGCGGGGGAGCAGGATAGCCCGGGGCTCGCACTTCCGCTGGCGTCAGGTGGCGGCGCGGCGGTGATTAGTTCCCGTGCGGTGCTGGGTTCCGAAGTCCGCTCCGGGACTGTGAGGCCCTGCGCTCCCGGCCTCCGGAGCCGGCCTGCGGTGCTGGGCCCTCGCCGAGGAGGTTGCCGCGCCTCTCTGATCCTCGGCTCCGGTGAAAAAGCTGGTTGCCGACCCCAGTAAAGCTTAGTCTTTAATGGGCGATTGCCGAGTGTCCTGCCCTAAACCAGCGCAGCGAGGACGCAGGGTGCTGGCACGCGCTCTGCCTTGCACCAGCTGGTGTATACACGGAATCTATTCCTGAAAACCCTTTACCTCCTTCATCTGCCAAGAAAAATCCTCAACTTTGGGGTAAGTCGCCTCTGCCCAACCTTCCTCGAATCCCTGGGCACTTGGCTGTTCTGCCCGCATGTTACCTTTAGGGGCACTTCGGGGGATCCGGTGAGAGCCCCTTCCCGACTTCCCCGATAGCGATCTATTTCCCAGCCTCTCTTCCTCCCCACTCCCCCACCACTTGCTTGAGAGCACAGAGGCTTAGTTTGCTTCCTCTCACCCGACCTCACACTTTAAAAAGGGGTCCCCAATAATTACTTGTTCCATGCAGAAGACAGTGTGTGCCTCTGGTTTTTCTTTCTACGCAAATCAGCTCTCCTCAAAGACACTTCCCCAAGATGAGAAATTGGTTAGTGCTCGCGAACTTTGCACCAAGCCCTTTTACTCTTTAAAATAAGCATTACTGTACCCATTTTAGAAATGAGGCAACTGAAACCCAGACAGGTTAAATAACTTGCCCAAAGCTTGACATCAAAGCTGAAGAAGCCAAACTGGGACTGGAATCCACGTGTTTGATCCTCTCAGCTTGATGAAACGCTTGCCTGTTGTAACTGAGACAGGGACGGTGGGTTTAGATAGAGTAGAGGGCCTCCCGAAAATTGCAAAGCAGGTTAATCACAGTCAGAACAATGTAACAATGTACAGAGAAAGTCCTACCAAAACTCTGCATTAAACAGTTAAGCAAAGTAAAACTAAGAAGCCAGGAGTAACTTGGCCTGGAATGTTTTAAATATCCCCCAAATAAGAAAATACCTCAGTATAGCCCATGCCTTTATTGTGTCAGATAAATCATGCTATTGTAAGATTTACTTTAGCATGCTAAAAGGCCCAGCTCATTTTTTTGACTTTACCCAGGGGCTGCTTTTCCCTAATCAAGTGATTTGCAACCTGGGCAATTGATTTAGCAAGCAAGCTACATAAATGTAGTAAAAACAGGAAGAATTCCATCTTAAGGATAAGATTGCATTTTAAGACCCAGTTAGTTAAAGTAAGTCTCCTAACATACTCTTTAACAAACAAACAATAACTCATCCCATCTTTGAAACAAGGCAGGCAGTCTTAATTTGCTCCCAGATCCAAAAACTGCTATCCTGGGAAGGAATCAGAGCAGTAAATTTCCTGTGTTATGCTAACTTTGCAGAATTATCCACTGATATGAACTTAATGTCTCTTCAAAAATAAACATTTTGGGACCATCTGACAGGTCTGCATCCCTGGACATTTGTCTCTCAACCACCTATAAGTCCCCTAGACAACGTACCACCCCAGACATTCTTGTCCTCTCCCAGTGTGAGCCAGGAGCTCTTTCCTCTTACTTCATATATCTAAAATAAAAACTTTTTACTTGCTCTCCTACTTTGAGTGTTTGCAAAGTTCATTCTTCGGCTCCGTGAACAAGAACCCTGGCATCAACTGGACTCCCAGAAATCGCCTTTGGCAAAGGAGTGTTTGTTGGGCAGTTCAGGAGCTGAATGCTCAGGAAAGTCGCTTGGGAATCAGTCCTCAGGTTATAAACTGCACAGGATCTGCTAGACTCTCAGATGCTCGCGTTTAGAAGAGAAATAATGGAGCAGGCCCTACTCAGCCGTGGAAAATAATGAGAGTTGATTGTAACCAATTAAAAAAAAAAAAACAGCCCTAACAGTATGAGAGTAAGGCAGCCGCCTGCTCTGTGGTGGCCCGACTCATCAGAAGCAGAGGATCCCAAAGAGACTTTCCAGTGAACTTCCTTACTAGCTGCTGCAGTCAGGTTGGGCCCACTTCTCCCCTGGGGAGACTAGTTGGGCACCCAGAGTTTACTCCTGGCTGGGAAGAACCCGAAACTTCCAGGGAATGTGTGGCATTTACTTATGTTTGAGCTGCCTGGGGTAAGAGGCCTCCAACCTCTTAGGGAAACAGGGTGGGAAGGCAAAAACCCTCATCAGGGACCACAGAGCTGGTCGTAGGATCAGGCCTCCTGGGTTAGAGGCAGAGCTGGTAGTAGGATCAGGCCCCTGGCCCTGAATACTGTGCTCTTTTTGCCAAATCCATGCCAGTGTGCAATGGTTTTGTGACTATATCAATGTCAGCCTGGCAGAGAGAGAGAACATAAGTGTTAATAACCCAAGGATTTGTAGATTGTACTCCAAGTTACAGAAAGGCACTAGTGGAAGCCTGAACTTCAGGAGCTAGGAAGTTGCAAATTTTAACTCAACCAAGTGTGACCTCTGAATCTCAGTTTTATCATCTGCAAAATAGGGCTAATAGTACATTCTCCAAAGATAAGATAAACTCACCAGTACAGATCATGTGGTACAGAGCCTGGCCGTAAGCACTGACTGAATTGTAACCCTGGCTGATATTAATAAAGAAGTTGAAAAGATGTTAAAAATAAGCTATGCAAGCTGACTCCCCCCTCCCTGTTGGAAGATCTCAAAGGAATATGGCCTGTGGGAGGTTTACCACCTTTCTGGCTCTGAGGGCTGCACCGTTAGTATTTAAAGTCTGGTTGGTAGCCTCTTTTGCATCTGAGGTTAATTAACAAGGATGGAGGTAATGTCAGTAGACATACCTTAAACAGTGGTACCTTAATTTAAAATACAGACTTTTTAAAGGAAGATGATTGTACGCAGTGTTTGTAACATGTAAGTAGTTTTACAGACCATCTCTTTTGATGTGGACTTTTCAGGAACATGCAGTGATAGATCTGTTTCAATGACACTGTAGATCTTGGCAGACCATGTAAAATATTTCCCCCACAAAAATTTCCTCAAATTAATTGAATTAGCTCCTTTTATGACATATTATTAAAAAACAGCTTAAATGTGCTTTTTTTTCCCCTCCAGAATTTGTGTTTTGTTTTGTTTTGTTTTTTCCTTTTTAGGAAGGAGAAGTCAATGTTGAATTTTAAAACACTACTCACTGAACTGAAAATAGTGGTTGGTATGCACATGTTATTAAAGAAGAAAACATGATCAGGGAGACCCACTTTTTTTACCTTCAATGAATTCAGACAACTTCAGCTGCCACCCTGCTGCTTTCCCTTCCTTGAATGTCTGGCTTTCTGCCCTGTTTGGGATGAGCACAAATTTTATTTCCAGTTCAATAATGGTTTAAAAGCAAATAAAATTATTCTTACTCCCTCAAACTTTCTCAGCTTAAAAAAAAAAACCCAAGTGATGTATGCTGTTGGTTTTTTAATCTAAAAGAAGTCCCTCTAATCTTTAATTATAAAGTCTCTAGTGATCTCAATCTAGTAGTAGAAGTTTTTTTAATTTCAGTTACCAGTAAACAGCAAAGTATTCATTTAGAAACTAAACTATACATTTGGGTCCCCAGGTAAAAAATAATGGAGCCCTGTAGTGCCCCCACCCCTTTTCTGGTAATTACATTCTCCTTTATGTCTATTGCATTAATATATGAACAATATTTTTTAAATGTCCCAAATACTACAAAACATAAAATGAAAAATGGCATCTCTTCCCCACCCCCACTCCACCTTTCAGTCCCCTCCCCAGAGGCAACCACCTTCCATTATTTTAGCAGTTTTCCCCTATGATCTCAACATCTTCAAATAATGTTCTTTTGTTATTATTTTCTGATTTGTTAACTAGATTTGTTAGGCAGGAAAATAGATATGAGCAGGATGGAAAGAGAATAAGGCCAGTAAATCCACTAGAAGGGACTCAAAGAATTAACCAGTTAAAAATAAAAAGCTTGAAGGCCAGGAGCAACTTGGCCTAGAGGTTTGAATACTCCCCAGATAAGGAAAAGTGTCTCAACATAGCCTGTGTTTTCACTGTGTCAGTTAGAACCATTGTAAGATTTAGTTTAGCACCTGCTCAAAGGCCCAGCTCATTCAGGAAGAATTCTCTCTTAAAGCTAAGATAGCATTTTAATCAAACGGTCAGTGGCTCAGTCCACACTGGAGGCAAAGCAGGCAGTCTTGATTAATATGCTTCCAGGCAAAAGCTGATTTCCTGGAAAGGAATCAAAGTAGTATATTTCTTGTGTTGAGTTAAAAAAAAAAGAAACTTAATGTCTTATCAAAGATGAACATTCTGGGACAGTTTGGCCCATCTGTACCTGGCCCTTTGTCACTTTCCTGAAAATCCTCAACCGCCTATAAAACCCCAGACCCTAAACCTTTCAAGGCTCTCCTCTCTCTGAGGTCGCCCGTACTTTGTAAGTGCGTAGACTTTCTCTCTTTCAGTAAAACTTAAACCTTTCAAGGCACCTCTCCTCTCTGAGGTTGCTTGCTGCACTTTTCTCTCTAAGTAGCTTTAAATAAAACTTCTACTCTGCCTCACTGCTGTGTCTCTGCCCTTCAATTCTTTGTTGCTGCAGGGACAAGAACCAAGGAAAATACACAATGCTCCCCCAACAGATGTATTATATATTGTCTTTTATGTTCCTTGTGGGCTGAAAGCGTATTACTGAACACCTCTGTTTGCTCTTGCCAACTAATTATACCATATTTTTCATAAAACTAACAATCAACATAAATGTAATTATGGCTAGTAAAAATTACTCATTGCATAGCCACATAGGTTATAATGATGGCGTTTCTTTCTTGTCAACTTT